GATTAATGAAAATAAGGTGTCAAACCCTTAAGAACACGCATTCGCGTCTGATACTCTTAGAAAAAGAAAAGTAATAATAATACAAGGCACCCATTGACCCCTTAGCGGAGCGGAGTAGGGGCATCAGCACCAACTTCATAGACAGCCCCAGAGTTGGGGTCTTCGATGAGCAGCCTTAGTTAGGCTCAAGGCTTCTTTTTCTAACGGATGTTACCTGATTCATTTCTATGAAGACTTTACTTTTACTCTTTCTGTTCGATAGGCCGCTAGAAGATCAATCTGAGCACCATTGTACTGCTTGTGTATTATCTCTTTCTTTTGCTTGGGGTGTACAGAGATGTTGGGTGGTGTTCTATGCTATATCGAAGTGTTTATGATAGAAAGTGCAAGTGCTGCAGCTCCCTGAAGCAGCGTGGCGGTGTTAGTTGTGCTTGCAGCGATATCCTTTGTAATTTGTGACGGGCCTCTTTGTTTGCTCCAAGTCTTCTTAGTCATTTCACCCAAGACATTTGGTATTTGAGCACGGCTAGCTGCATTTTATTAACTATGTTTTGAATTATCTCACGACTCTAGGCAGTATTGCAGGTCCACTGGTGGGAGGAGTAAAGATTTCCTTCGTGAAAACAAAGAATGTAAACGCCTCAGTACTTCTTCCTTCACCAAATATTGTTTAGTGTAAAAGTAAAGGAAGCAGTTCGTTCTTACAATAAATAGTATTGTATCGCATTTAATTCAGAAGGCCTCACGCACCAACACAGCGACGACACGTGTGGAGGTATTGTAATTACTTTGAAGTTTTCATCTGAAAAATAGCAAACAACATCATATTTTTAAAGTTGATGATGCTTAACAAGGAATTGAGAGCTCTGAATGTTTCGTCAGTTAAGTTGCAATGGACCGTTAGCTTGGGCCAGCGGAGATGAATGCTGCGGCTGATAATTAAGAGATATATCTTTCTTGTTTCTTTGATGTAAAGTATTATATTTAATTTAATTTGTTCCATGTTTTAAAGAAAAGAATAGAAGTTTTTGAATTCATTTCAAAATATTGCGGGGGTGAACGCACAGCCGCATGGCCGGAGGTCGCATCTGGGGGCAGGGGAGGCGAAGTAGTTCTCGGCGTGTCTCAGGTTGTCTTCATGTTCTTTACACTTCTTACCTCCTCAGGGGAGATTAAAGTAATACATCTTCTCATAAGAGGGCATTTACACGTAAGCATCGATAGAAGACCCCATGAATAAACCCCTTAATTCACGTTTCGCGTTCATCTCGGCCCATGTAGCCTACACACCAGCAGAAGAAAGCTGATGCGCAATGACTATGCACAATTGAGCTGTCTTCCTCTACTTTTAGTTAAATTGGAGTTTGTAAGAGTGTGATATTTTGCATATGTTTATTTTTCTGTGCTCATTGCAGAGGTTCAATCTGTTGGGCCCCACGAGTTGCGGAGCTCTCTGCATAGTACAGCGACGGCGTGCATATCAACACGTCACGTAGGGAGAATGGGAGAAACAGATATCCCTTCTAAATATCTTGTTGCAGGACGGTATAGTCGTGGTTCATCTGCTCGTATCAACAATGCCTCCCAGACTGGATTGCACAGTCGACGACTTCGAGGCCCTCAAGTCGCTTGGGGAACTGCCGTATGGATGGTTTTTTCTATTGCTGTGATATTCCTTATTATGAAATGCGCATCGAGACTAGCCATTCACAAAAATGCATCTATATCTGCAAGAATGCTGGCGCAAGGAGGTAGAAAAAAGAAGGAACACCGGACAAGCCTGCTAGGATCTGTGAGGATAATATGCATTTTATGCTCAGTAGATGCGCTAACACTTAAACAATAAAATCTAAAATGTTCATGCGCTTTGCTGTCTTTTCTATTTCTCTCCCAGGATTCCGATGATGAAACAACCGCCTGCCTCGATGGAACTAACGGGCGGAAGAAGAAAACATCTCTCTGGAGAAAGTTTTGGGACTCAAGAAATAAAACACCGAAACTTGCAGCATATGCAAAAGATTTACAAGAAAAAGAAGAACCTTCTCCAGACAATTCCGATTCTGATGATGATTCCCTCGGCTTTGGAGGTCACACAGGCGAGGAACTTGCTGGAGGGCGCCGCGTTCAACATGACACTCTTCTATTCCCTGGAATTCCTAATTCTCCCCATTATAAAGATATTGATAAATACTATGACTTTCCTCATGTATCATCGGTACGTAAGATAGCCGACTTAGTGATCAAGTGGTGCTTCATAGAGCGATCGTGAACTAAGACGGCAACACATCACACATATTCAACTTCTAACTTGTTCTTCATTTTGATGCAAGGGAGCTTGTCCACCGTCTTCTGTGCGTATTGAAGGAGCACAAAGACTTAAGGAATGCTTTAAGGGCCCTGCAAACGACTGCGTCGGCTCTCTGCCTCTCTCATCCAACCCCATACAGTGGTAATGCAACTTCCGCAGTATTAACCCAATAGGGCTTTAAAAATGCTGCAGTATTTCCGAATATGTATCTATCGGGCGGTATTTCGTTGTCTGCACATGCGTATTCTTCGTTGCTGAGGTGGTTCAGCTTGCACTTTTACCCCTTCGTTTCCATCTTTGCTGTGGTTTGCATGTCCTGCAGGGATATTCCAAGCTGACGTTGTGCTGCAGAACGGCTCCGGTACCGTACAAGTTACTATTAGGGTTGAAGAAGTGGTGAGTATCTTGATTTCGTTGCCACCTCCTAGATCCTTTCCCCCCGAAACGCCGTACAGGGTTATGAACATGAACAGAGGCTCCCTGACCTCGCCAACAGCGAGTGTGCGTTTGTCTTCATGCAGTCCCATACGAATACGACTTCACCATGCTCGCGGTTTGATATAAAACCTCATGGTGACGTCGGTTTGGATCATCGTCATGTCAGATAAAAAGCCCCTTCGCTCCCCCACCTTGCAGCTTTGCCTGTACCTTCACAGCAACTGATCTTACCCACTTAGCGGTGTTTTTTTAAATTCTTTTGTGTGCACTCAGTTTTCACGGGATGTGGGTTGTATGGCGGAAGAGATGCTTGGCCTGGTGCTGGGTGAAGCTGAAAATGGCAGCTGTGGGTGCACAAGGGGAAACGCTATATTGGGGATGATGCAATATTGTGGCGATTTGCCTTAAAATATTTCGCTAGGCTATGTTTAACCGTTAATGTGGAGGCCCTGCACATAGTCATTTATATAAGTGAAGCCCTAGGGGAAATCGTATTGTGAACTTGCAGGTATTTGATGGTATGTTTGCAGTGGTAGACGGCGAATCACATCGGCCCTGGTGCTTGTTAAAGAAGCCATCGAACGTGTCCT